TGTCCTGGCGCCGAGCACATTTGGTTGTGCCCCAGGGGCTCCAGAAACAGGGAAGCTACAAGTTACCCAGACATGTCAAGGGTGTGTTATCATAGATGCAAAAAGACAGATAGGCTCAGTGAAGGTAAAGGTTGACCTTGCCAGTGAAGATACTGGCCTAGGACGTAACTGCCCACCATACCTGCTTTAGTTACAGTTTAATTTCACACCATCCTTTGTGGTGACTTTAGGTCTGAGTTTGCAAGACTGCCATGCAGGCCTCCCCTGAGCTGGTCAGGCCAGCATGTGGCCCCTTCTGTCCACAGTGCAGATCCCTTCCGTGAAGGAGCCTGGAAAAGTAGCCTGAGGCTCAGTTGCCAGAAACCTTTGTGCCTCTGAGCCAGTGGAGCATCAACTAAAGAACAAACCTGGCTGTGGGGACCGGGAAACTTTTCCTGGACAGGTTCCTGCAGTGAGGGGCGGTGGTTGCCTTGGAGACATGCCCCTCACCCTGGAAGCTGGGAGGAAAGGGCGTCCTTGGTGAGGAGTCAGGGAGGCTAGGAAGAAGGGGCTGGGGAGGTAGGACCACAGGGCGGGTGCAGAGAGGCTGCAGAGCACACTTGTGTGGCCCTGAGGTCAGCCTATTCTCAGGAAAGTTCCCCAGGAAGGGCTGAGCCCCCAGCGGAGGGCGGTCACGGTTCAGGAGTCTGGGGAAGGGGAGCGGTTTAGCTGAAGGGTGGGGAAGGGGAGCAGGTGTTCCGTCCAGATTAGCCGGTGGCCGGAGCAGCCCAGCTAATCATTTCTGCAGCAAGTAATGGGTTTGGAGAGTCTTTGTCTGACAGCAAAGAGTAAACAGCGCCCTGACTCTTATCTGAGCCCCATGGGGAAGGGTGGGTCTCTGCAGGAGCCGCTCCCAGAATGCAGGGCGGGGAGCTTCCTGGATGCTGTTCTTTTGCCCGCTGGGGGGCGCGGAGCTGGTGTAAAGCTCCCCATTGTCAGGATGGGGATGGAGGGGAAGAGGTTTCCCAGGAGGAAGGCCTGGCAGCTCGGAGGGGAGGGAGGGCGGGTAGAAATCCACAGACTTAAAGAACCCCTGGTCCCCCTGGTCCCGCTGAAGTGAAAGACAGGACCTGGTGATGGCAGAGGCAGGGGGAGCAGAGGCCCGCTCCCTGAGGCCGAGGGCATCGCTGGGGGCGCGTGGCGGGGTGCCCCCCTCCCCAGACAGCAGGGAAGGCCCCGCCTTGTAAATATTTGGAAGCTGCTTTTAAAGATTAGATTTCCTGCCGGTTTCCGCCCAGGGAAGCAGGGACACTGCGAGATGCTCTGGCATCCAGGAAGTCTCTCCCTGGGCTGCTGGCCAGGCAGGAGGAGGAACACTTCTCTCTCCGCTCTCTCCCTCGATGAAAGAAAATGCTCTTGAAGCAAAAGTTTACGAAATGAATAAAACGGCGAGTCTGTGCGCACTGGCAGCGGCTGATGGCTAGAATGAAGTGTAAGGGCTTCCTGCACAAAATTCCAGTCTAAAACCCGCTGACACGAACGCAGGAGATTCAAATAAAAGTTTAAAAATCCTTTCAATCTCAACAAAAAGGCAGGACATTTGACACTGAAGTGAGATTTCGAGATTGTGGCTTTGCCTGTAGATCAACTGGATCTTCAAACAATATACGTTTTATGAATTTAGGATGCGATCCATCGAGCCTTCGGAGCCGGAGCTGAGCAGCCAGACTCTTGTTCTGTCTCCCAAAGGCACCGAGCGCTTCCCCACAGGTGCTGTCCCCTCGGGGATGGCGCCACAGTTACCTCTGAGGCCGTGGGTACCAGTGTTCGGTGACATGACCGAAACGACGGGCCTGGGAAGGTGCAGTGCTGCTGTGTACAATCAAAACAGAAGGCAGAGCCCGGCCTATGCACCAGGAGGTGCCGGTTCGATTCCCGGTCAGGGCACAGGCCCGGGTTGCGGGCTCCATCCCATGTGAGGCGAGCAGGAGGCAGCCGGTCCATGGTTCTCTGTCATCGTGGATGTTTCTATCTCTCCCTCTCCCTTCCTCTCTGAAATCGATGGAAATATATTTAAAAGAGCATATAGCCTTTGTGGAAGTGCATTGGGACACCCACCAGGTCCCTGGGAGAGATGGCTCAGGCGACTGAGAATTCCAACACGCCCCCTCCCCTGGGCTTTCACTCTGGTCTTCAGGACACAGAAGGGCCTGGCCAGCGGGTGGGGGGGGGGGGGGTGGCTCAGGCTGGGGGAGGGCAGAGGGCTGCCTCTGCTGCACCCAGGCTCTGCACAGGATATTGTGGTGTCGCAGCACTGCCATGAGTGCTGCCGGGTACATGTGTGTGTGTGTGTGTGTGTGTGTGTGTGTGTGTGTGTGTGTCTGTCTGTATGTAGTGAGTGAGTGAGTTAATCCTCACCTTCCTCCCCAATGCTTCCTCCCCATTGATTTTTAGAGATAGTGGAAGGGAAGGGGAGAGTATGGAGGTCGGGTATGCAGCCTGCACCCAGGCACGTACTGCCAACCAGAATCAAACCCATGACCCTTCCCTTGGAGGCCGATGCTCTAACCACTGAGAGGACTGGCCGGGGCTGGATTTTAAAATGATTTATGGCTCCTATGTGAACGATGATTTCATCAGAGTTTAGATTAAAAAAACAAAAACTTTAACCTTGAAAGAATTCTAAAAAAAGTTGACTTTTAGAGGCACACGAGGATAAAAACGCAACGCAGCGGCGGCTGTGGCAGGTCCGAGTGTGCGCACCGGGCATGCTGGCGTCGTCGTCGTAGCCTGTGACTGAGCTTTTCTGGGGGAGAGCGTGGGCAGCAGGTTGCCAAGCAGGAAGCGGCCGTCCATTAGCAGTCACTCCGGAGTTTGAACTGGTCTATAAATACCAGTGTTTCCTTTGGCAAATCAGTTTTCCAACCTGGAGGTGCCGGGTTTATTTAAAGAAATGATTGTTGATTCCAACTTTAAAAAAAAAAAAAATGTAAGCCCACAAAAGGTAACATTTATGGAGTAATTAATACTAGTTGGCCTCACGGTGTTTTGTCAAATGCAGTTACTGATTTTTAAGTAAAATTTGGGGATAAAATAATTCATGTAATGACTTCTACCTTTAGTGTTTATAATGTATTTTAAATGTTTACTTAGCAATTTAAACTTCCAGTTGGCTTTAAGCTTAGAGTGATAATGTTTCAATAAATTATGAACTATATATTGTTTTATTGATTACATGTAAATATTCGTTTATATTTTTGAACATTACTACACTTACCACGTATCAAATGAATTTATAAATTTTTCTAACAATATTTATAATTTATTATAATGGATCCTTTAGAAAGATAAAAGCAAAAAATATATATTGGTGTTTAATAAAGAAACTCAAAATGGACCTTAAGAATCACTCTAACTTTCCCCTTTACATAATGAAATTATCTGTTTTCTTTTTACATTAAGTTTTAGATCTTTCCATACTTTACTTATTTTTTTAAAAAAAATACATTTTATTGATTTTTTACAGAGAGGAAGGGAGAGGGATAGAAAGCTAGAAACATCGATGAGAGAGACACATCGATCAGCTGCCTCCTGCACACTCCCCACTGGGGATGTGCCCACAACCCAGGTACATGCCCTTGACCGGAGTCGAACCTGGGACCCTTTAGTCCGCAGGCCGACGCTCTATCCACTGAGCCACACCGGCTAGGGCGATCTTTCCATACTTTAAAGATATTGAGAACTGCTGCCGTTCTAATCTTGTTCCTCTGTATGTAATGTGCTTTTTTTTTTTTTTTTTTGCCGCTTTTAATATTTCCTCTTTCTCCCTGGATTTAAGAAATTTGATTTTGACAAGTTTTCTTGTTTCTTGTATTTGGGGTTTGTTAAGCTTCTTGAATCCTTGGGTTTATACTTTTGGAGAATTCTCAGCCTTTTTTTTTTTTTTTTTCCAAATATTTTTCTGCTGCTCTTCTCTCTTTTCCTTCAGGGACTGTTTGACAAGTTGATGTTTTTCCACAATTTAGTGGTCCTCCCTCCCTCCTGCCCTCCCTCCCTCCCTCCTTCCCTCCCTCCCTCCCTCCCTCTTTTCTGTCTGTTACATTTTAGGTAGGTGAGTTGCTGTGTCTGTGTCTTCAATCTCACCACTCTTCTCTTGCAGTATCTTATCTACCATTAGTCCCGTCTAGTGTATTCTTTATGCCCCACATTGTGGTTTTCATTTCTGGAAGCTGGAGTTGGTTGCTTTTATATCTCGTCTCTGCCTCTGACCACCTGCTTCCTCTGTGCCCAGCTTCTTGAGCACGTGGAGTGTCTCCGAATGTCCGTGGCTGCCACCACTATCATCCCTGTCATTCTTCTGGATCAGTTTTCATTGATTTTTCTCCTCATTATTTTTTTTTTCTTCTTTGCATGCCTGATTTTTCTTTTTATTTGTTTCCAGAAATTGTAGATTTTACCATGTTGGGTATGGAATATTTTTATAGCTCTTAAAATATTTTTGAACAAAATTATGGGATATAAGGAAGTTACTTAGAAAAGTTTAATTTTGGGGGTCTTGTTGTTAAGATTTGTTAAGTGAGTCCAAAGCATCATTTATTTTAGTTTTCATTTTTTTCTACTTATGAAGGAAGACAGCTGTTAGTCAATCTAATCGATGTCCCATGGGTTGTGACACGTCCCGCCCTCGCTGCTGGCTCTCGTGTGAGCGGCAGGCACTGTTCCCTGTAGACTCCCGGTGGCCTTTCCCCAGTGTTGGCCTGCTTACTAGATTTCCCCCCTCAAATGTGCAAATAAATATCATTAGTGACAGATGTGCAATAGAAGAAAATCAAGAAAATTTAGGAACTTTGGGGGAATCCTACCTGCTGGGCCACCCATACATTTGAGTACTCATGTTTATTCTTACCCAGTGTCCTTTGGGAGATTGTTTGCAAGTATTTTAAAAGTTTTAAATGCATTTGCTTAAAGGAGTTTGGTCAGCACTTCCTCACCGATTCTTTATGATCTTGTTATTTCTGTAGGGCGTAAAGTGTGCGTGAAGCGAACTATTCGGCTGACCCCCATCATGAACCGTGCTTTTAGCAGAAAGAAAGGTAAGTGTGCCCATCTGATGGCCCTGGGGTCAGTTCAGTATGAATTCCGATGAAAGTCAAATGGCGATGTTAAGCCGTGAGTTCTTCCTGTTATCAAACCAGGGGGCTCAGGAGTGAAGTGACATAGGGCACGCGCATTTGCAAACATTGCCAGGTAACCTTGTTTGGCTGTCACCCGAGTGCAAGAGAGGAGTTGCTTAATGTACGTACCTGGTTCAGAATGCGTTTGTGATGGTGAGCATTCTGGCAGTTTTACTCTGTGGTGTGAAATGGCAAAAATTAAAATGATCTGAAATCACTTCAAACTTCACCTTATGTAGCCAGAAACCACTAACATCTTTAAGTTTGCATAAGTTTACCTTGATTTAAATTCACTCATGTATGTGTATGTGTGTGAATATGCTTTGCTTTTATTTTTTTTAATCCTCCCCTGAGGATACGTTCAGAGAGAGGAAGGGAGAGAAAGAGAGACACATCAGTGTGAGAGAGAAACATCCATTGGCTACTTCCATTAGTGCCTCGACCAGAGATCAGACCCAGAGCCTCGCTATGTACCCTGACGGGGATCGAACCGGCAGCCTTTTCGGTGTATGGGACGATGCTCCATCCACTGAGCCACCGCCAGGGGCTGCTTCACTTTATATTGAATAATATGTGAGGATGGATGACAGGTGAATTGAAAGCAATGACGCCAAAATAAGTTCGTTATTAATTTTAAGATAGGGATTTAAAATAAGTATAAATTAATAAAATTATCAGTATTAGAATGAAAGAAACAGTGTCATTTATATTTTAGGGGGGAGGAAAACATGGCATTTTACCCACTATGATGCACTCAGAGGGAAGACAGAACACTTCGCTAGTGTCACCTCCTTCAGGGCGGGTAGAATAATACGTCCAGAAAATGGCTGAAGAATAAAGCCAGCAGGTCAGGACCACAGTCCCAGTGCATTGTCTGACTAGTGACTGTTCTGTTCCATTCCACGCTGTTGGGAACAGGTTTTTTAAAAATGTATTTTTATTGACTTCAGAGAGGAAAGGAGAGGGAGAGAGAGAAACATCAAGGATGAGACTCATTGATCGGCTGCCTCCTGCACGCCCCCTACTGGGGATGGAGCCTGCAATCTGGGCCTGTGCCCTGACTGGGAGTCGAACCTTCAGTCTGCAGGCCTACACTCTATCCACTGAGCCACACCAGCCAGAGTGGGAACAGTGTGTGTTTTCAGAGCTGATTGACACGCGGAACCTGCCGGATGAGAAGGGCTGGGTTGACAGTAGGTCTTCCAGCCACGCAGCAGGGAACCGGGCTGAGGGCCTGGGCCTGGTCATGGGACTCGCCTTTCAATGTTGGGAAGGCGGTCATGCGATCATGTGGTCATGAGACTACGTTAGAGAAAGGACAAATAGCGAGAAATGGTGTGGTCGTTGATTCAATGTAGGAAAACATTTCAACCAAGTTGTGCAGAAACATGATGGGATCGCTCCAGGCCCCGCCTTCTCTGTGAGGAGCCATGTGCTCGTCTGGCTGGGTGGGCAGGACTGGTGCCTTCTGTGGGGGTTTAGGTGACGTCACTTCAGGGTGCCTCTGGGCCCTGGGGAGCTAGGAAATTATCATCTTATCTTTTCTTGATAAGGGTAAGGCTGGGTGACATTCATTGTGGTCTGTAGCTTGCTTCTGACTTAAAACATACGCCAAAAGTAAAACAATGTTTCTTTCTTAATTCCTTTACCAGTAAAACAATATCTACAAATAATCATGTGGTAATACAGTAATAAGACCCATTATCGCCATTCATTACTGTAGTCATGCTATCTTCCAAAAACAAACACAAAAATCCTCCTGGAACTTCTCTTTTTATGTGCTTGCAATTCCCTTCCCCGTGGTTTTATTTATTTATTTTTTAAAAATGTTTTTATTGATTCCAGAGAGGAAGGGAGAGGAGGAAAGAAACGTCGATGATGAGAGAGCATCATGGATTGAGTGCCTCCTGCACGCCCCACACTGGGGAGCAAGCCCGCTACGGGCGTTGCGTATTTTGTCTCATTTGAAGACTGGGAATATGACCACAAGGAAGATTAACGTGACTTAGAGAATCCTGAAGCCGAAATACTTATTTCCTACTTCGTCTCATTCTCTTTTCGTTTCCTGATATTCCTCTTACTTTCCAGGCCTCGGGGTTACACCCACTTAGGCAACGGCTGATCAGCATGCCACTCTGACGCCGAGTGAGCCCGGCGCGGGCGCCCTCCCCGAGGTGCCCGTCCCGCCCGAATGTCCCAGGCAGCGAGGCTGTGAGAGGAGCCGCTGCCCCAGTGCCCAGCTCCGCTGTCGGCTTGAACTGCAGTTTAGTTCGAAAACTGGAGCTGCACGAGGGGATCCCTATTACACCTGACAGGGAGTTGAAGGGCAGCCCTAGCGAGTGTAACATCCACTTCCTCTGTCCGATCACTAGCCCCAGCACAGTGTGTCCCCTGCTCTGACACAGCCAGGCGGTCCCCGGGGGTGAGGCTCGCCGGGTCACCGCGGCTCAGAGCTGACCAGGCCCCAGCCGCAGCCCTGCCGGGCCACCTGGTGCCTCGGAGCCGGGGAACAGGCTGCTGCCCGAGATCCCCACGGAGTGGCTTTTCCTCGTGGTCCCCAACCACCCGCCTCGGGTCGGGGCGTGTCTGCTGTTCCCTGAGTGGGTAGCGGGCACCGCACTGATTTATCTCCAGATCCTGATGGTGCGGGGCAGCTCCCGGGTCTGAGAGAGACCCAGTGCCTCATTCGGCCAGTTGTTCATCGTTCTGTAAAAACCAGCCCAACTTCGCAATCACTGATTACATTTTAACAAATGTATTTGTTATGTAACTCCTTTCCTTACCTTAGCTTTCTATCTGAATTTTTTAAAATAAAAATTTATTTATTTCACAAAAATGAGTAATTTAGTAACAAAACATATGAATATAGCATGTGAACAAATGTGATTGAATAATTTAACTAATTACACTTTATTTTCCTTAACACTTAACATACTGGAGGGTAGATACAGTCATAGTGCATAGCACTTAGATTTCAATGTTTAAGTATTATTTCTCTTTAGATCCACTCATATGCATCCTTTCATCCAACAACATTTGGTTTGACTAAACGTTAATATTTTTTGCTTTTTGCTCATTTATGCATTCCACAAAATATTTGGGATGATATGTGGAATGTATAAAATTTAAAAATGGAATGAAAAGTATATTTTATATTTCTATCAAGAATATACAATCCAAATTGGTTTCAATGTCTTCTATCCTTTCAGCTACTTTTATTTCCAATATCCTGTTACTCTAATCTAAAACATTTCAAATTAAGATTATTTATTTAAAAAACTGCTGATAGTAGATTCACAATTAATGTTTCTCTAAGCTTAGATTAAAAAATCATCCTAATATCATATTGATTTCTAAATGGACCCAAGTAGGTTGACTTATTTCTGTTTTATATAAATGCAGTTATTAGTTTAATATTAAAATTTCCCTTTATTAAGTTGTTCATTCTTTGCTAAATAATGAATAAAGAGAAAATGACTTTTTTCATTAGAGAATTAAGAAACATAACCTGTAATTTATGAGAGCAAAAAGAGAAAGTTATCACAAAATTAATCACATAATTGGTGTAATTACTCAGAGCCCTGGGGGCGCAGTAACATTTGCATTATTTGAAAACACTTGGCAGGAAAAGCAGGGACCTTCAGATCAAGGAGAGGACGCTGTGATCACTGCCAGTCACCTTGTTCTCATGTCTGCCGGGGATCGGAGATGCTCTCCCCACATCAGATTCCTCACATGTGCCAACGCGTGAATGACGCCCTCAGAGCCTGTGATTGAAGTTAACACTGTGTGTTCTCATTGCAGACAAAACATGGATGCACACGCCTGAAGCTTTATCAAAACACTACATTCCCTACAATGCAAAGGTAAAGCAGTTCCTATAATATTACTGAATTTTACTTGTTACGTATTTATGATGGACATTAGTAATTCCTGGTTGATCTTAGAAAGTTTGTTTACGCATTGGCATTTCCTGGTGTATGATCCCTGAGAGAAATTTGCATAAATAAAGTCATTTTGTAGGGTATAGTATAGGAAAGTTATTTTTGTCTCCAAATAAGTGATTTTTAAAAAGCGGTACCCTTCACAATTTCTGTTTGTGTTATGCATGTGTTGTCTTTAAATGATTTGGGTTCTTGTTAAAGTGACTTGCAGAACCATGGTCTGGAGGAAATAAAATAACCAACAAATGAGTGTCCTTGAAACATTTTAATGTTGCATTACACCGAAAAATATAGAAACTAACCCGGGGATGAGAGAAATGAGCTGCAGTTTTAATGAATGTCATTTTTCATGCCCAAAAGGGGACAAACAGAGCTTAAACCATTAAGAAAACAAACAAAACAAATCATTTTTGGGGTGAAGCTTTTGTCCAGTTGCTGCATTTTAATACATAGAAGCAACCTATACTCCACGTCAAAGATTCGATTCATTGTTGGAAAACTGGAGGGATGAATGCAATGAACAAAATGGTCTTTAAAGGAAGGTGTTATTCCCGGCCGGTGTGGCCCAGTGGTGAGCACCAGCTTGTGGACCAGGAGGTTGCCGGTTTGATTCTTGGTCAGGGCACATGCCCAGGTTGAGGGCTCGAGGGCTTGATCCCCCCGTAGGAGACGTGCAGGAGGCAGCCGATCAATGATTCTCTCATCGATGTTTCTCTCTCTCTATCCCTTGCCCTTCCTCTCTCTCTAAAAGTCAATAAGAACATATATATATATTTTTAAAGATATTAATTTGGTGTTAGTGAACACCAAACCTGAAGTAGATTTCAGAGAAATCTATGTGGGAGAGACGGAAATGAATTGAAGAGTTGAGTTTGGGAGGGTGAGAGTGTGACAGACTCAAGTACCTCACCCGGGGAGACAGTGTGGGGAAAAGAGAAAATTATTTTCATAAGAGAATGTAAGAGCTTGCGGGTTAGCAGACCGGGCGCTGGGATAGAATGAGGTTGGGTAGGAGGCATTATTTCAGGAAAAACGTTTTTAAAAATTCCTGGGACAGAAAGTCGATGGGGCTTAATGGGGCCGCTCTGGAGGGCTGGCCGCTCTGAGCCAGCACAGGAAGCACTTACACGGCCGCCGGACGCCCCAGAGCTGCTCCCCACAGTGAACGTGCGGAGTGAAGCAACTAGGGCTTTTTGCTGACTTTGCAGCAAAAAAAAAAAAAGAAAAAAGAAAAAAAAGGTTTAAAATATTTTCTCTGTAAAACCCATACGCTTGAAGTCACTGCCCTGCTTATGAATGGCTCTAAGGCCACGTGAGGATTGGGTTGCCAGGACGGAGCTTGGGAAGCTTATTAACGGACCGGGAAAACTGCCTCATAGGACCCTCCTCGCCCTCAGACAGTCTTCCTCGGCCCTTGGGAGACTGAAAACCACATAGAAAATCGTGTAGAAAAGCACGTCATTGCAAGGACCTGGCTCCGTGTTGTGACACGATTCCCGATCGTAGTAGGATTCTGTCCTCCAAGGGAAACTAACCACAGTCTGTGTATTTTTCTGAAATGTCTCATGTTGACAAAGGGGTTTCTATAGGGTTGAAAGGTTCCAATTATACCTTTTTAAAAAAAAAAAAAAAAGTATATATTTTGTTGATTTCAGAGAGGAAGGGAGAGGGAGAGAGAGAAACATCCATGATGAGAGAGAATCAAGGATCAGCTGCCTCCTGCACGCCCCCCACCGGGGATCGAGCCCGCAACCCGGGCACGTACCCTTGATTGGAATCGAACCTGGGACCCTTCAGTCCGCAGGCCGACACTCTATCCACTGAGCCACACGGGCCAGGGCCCATTAGAGCTACCTTTAACTTGAACTCTGGGCCACTGTGACCATGGATCTGCTAGTCCACGTGAAGACGTTGCCTGTACGTCGCCTACTCTGAGTTTTCATGGAGCAAGATGCCAATGCGTGGGTCACCTTTGTCCTAAAGTCACCCGGAGAAATGCAAGGACATCGGTGCAAACCCTTGCAGACTGTGAGGAAGTTTTACGAGGAAGAAGCTAATGAGGAGAGGAAGTTACATAATGCGGCCTAATGAGTCATGGCAGAGAGAAGTGGTATTAGAACAAGATCATGTTGCTAATGCTTCTGGGATTGTTGTTGGTGACTGTGTGACAAATTGCCCTTCAGCGCAGTGTTCCTATCGGTTTACGAATGAGTGGGAGAGAGTTCGGATCCTAGAAATAAAGATACCGACAGCCGCGCCACAGAAGGAAGTCAGCAAAGAAAACAGTCACGGGAAACGTTCGCGAGTGTTCGGGCCGGGCAGCGGACGCGTCCGTGGGCGCGGTGGGTGAGACGCGCGCGGGCGCCCGATGGGCCAGGGGCCCGTCCCGCGCTGATGTGGAGCCGCGGCCCAGCCTGGGACTCCCGTCGGCGGCCGCGGCTCCAGAGCAGCCGGCCCAGCAGCGGCGTGCGCGTGTTTCAGGGAAGCGTGGAACGCGTGAGGGCTCCACTGCATCCCTGTCCTTCCTTCCACGTGGTTAGCAAGGAGGCTCAGCTCATATCTCCGCACAGGAGCCGCTCGACAGCGACCTTCGGAGGAGCCGTCGCACTTTTCCGCTTAGAGCAGCGGTTCCCAACCTTCCTGCTGCCGCGGCCCTTAACCCAGTTCCTCACGTTGTGCTGACCCCCAACCAGAAACTTATTTCGTGGCTACTGCATACCTGTCATGTTGCTGCTGTTATGAATCGTCGTGTAAATATCTGACATGCAGGATGGATTTTCATTGTTACAGATTGAACATAATGAAAGCATCGTGATGAATCACAAAAACAATATGTCATTATATATGTGTTTTCCGATGGTCTTAGGCGACCCCTGTGAAAGGGTCGTTCAACCCCCAAAGGGGTCGCGGCCCACAGGTTCAGAACCGCTGCTCCAGAATGAGCCTACAGACCCGCACTTTAGCCCCGAGTGGCTCAGTGGTGAGGGTTGACCTATGAACCAGGAGGTCAGGGTTCGGTTCCCTGTCAGCACAGGCCCGGGTTGTGGGCTCGATCCCTGCGGGGGCGGGCGGGGGGGAGCGTGCAGGAGGCAGCCGGTCCATGATTCTCTCTCATCATTGGTGTTTCTATCTCTCTCACTCTCCCTTCCTCTCTGACGTCAATAGAAATACAATTTAAAAAGAGGGCGGGAGAGACCTGCGTTGGCGCACTGTCCTCGAGAAGCCGGGGCAGGTGGTTTTGGAGACACGGGCAGTGAAGCAATGGGATCCCCGGTCCTGACTCTTCTCACCAGCGGCGTCTGCTCCCTCCGCCCGTCTGGCGGGCAGCTGACAGGAGAGCAGCAGCGGGGGCTTTGGCTTCGGTCCTCTGCTCCCGCCGCGGGCAGCTAACGAGCGCCGAGCGCACCCAGGCGAGGCCTGCGGGCCGCAGGAGCTGCGGGGCGGGACAGTCCTCCCTGCGGTGCTGCCTGGACAAGCGCATCTGCCCTCTGCGGCCGCAGGTCTCAGGAGCACGGCTGTGCGGACCGAGCCCTCCCCGGGCAGCGGGCGCCTGGAGCTGCCCCGGGTGAGCTGGCAGCTGGCAGGCCCCTCGCAGCAGGGCTGTCTGTGTGTCCTTCTCTGATTCGCAGGACTTGATGGCATCAAGTTTATTTAGTCCTTTGTTCTGGTAAAGCCCTGCCTTCTCCACATCCTCACCCGCACACCCTGTCCTTCCAGCTGTTCTTCTCCTGAGTCACATCTTCTCATCGGCCCCTTGGGGGAGGGCCAGGCTGGCCACTGGCTGACCCGCTCCTGCGCCCGCTGCAGTCCCCGCCTCCCTGTTGCTCCCACCGTGTGTGACTTGTCAGGCACCTGTCTGTCTCCGTCCCTGTGTCCGTCCCCATCCCTGTGTCAGTCCCATCCCTATGTCAGTCCCCGTCCCTGTGTCAGTCCCCATCCCTATGTCCGTCTCCGTCCCTATTCAGTCCCCATCCCTATGTCAGTCCCATCCCTATGTCAGTCCTGTGCAGAGGCAATGCCGTGACAACTCTCTCTTTTAAAAATGTGTTTGTTTTCATTGATGTCAGAGAGGAAGGGAGAGGGAGAGAGAGAGAGAAACATCAGAGATGAGAGAGAATCATGGGTCGGCTGCCTCCTGCAGGCCCCACACTGGGGATCGAGCCCACAACCCGGGCCTGGGCCCTGACCGGGAATCGAGCCCTGCCCTCCTGGTTCCTAGGTTGACACTCAGCCACCAGCCAGGCTATACCAACTCTTCATAAACTGACCCACTTCGCTTACTCTTATGGCCCCCACTTTACAAATCAGGAAATCGCGGTTAGAGGAAGTGGATCCATGCCCATCGCTGCAGCTGATCAGGGGCGCCCAGACCCCAGCGTCTCAGAGCGCAAGCCCCCGCCTCCCGCCCCCCCACCAGGGCCGCACGCAGCCGCCACCGGCGTCGGACAGGAGCCCTTGGTCTCTCCGTGTCAGCAGAGGACGTCTCCCTTCGAGAACGCCCTGTTCTGTGAGGAAGGACGACCCCGTGTCCCCTGCTGATGGCTTCTGCTCTTCTGATGAGCAGTTTGTAGCAATTTACTCCTGAGAACTCGCCAGGACCGAAAAGAACAGGCGTCCTTTGTCACTGCCTCCTTCCAGAACGTGCCTGCCTCCAGGCCGTCCCCGCTCCCCCAGCCGACTGCAGACCCAACCTGGAGCTCCCCGTCCCCGCCTCCTGGGCACCGGGCTTGCCAGGGCCACACTCTCACTTGTAAACGCCCCTCTCCCCAGACACACAGTTCCCACAGCCCGATGCCAGGCACTCTGTTCAGCGCCCTAATGCATAGGGAGCCTCGGCCGGTGGGGAGGGGGTGGGAGCTGTGAGGAGGGGAGCTAGCAGGTCACACCGGCCAGGGGGAGGAGGGAGAGAGCCAGAGGGAGGA